ATAAACAGTGTTAGAGTGAAGGTGGTTCTGGCTGTGTTGGCATCATTTTCCAGCTCTTTTTTGCCTTTGGAGCATGTTTGGAGTATGGCTCTGTGTGCTATGTGTGTGTACTTATATATGTACTTTTGATACTGATATACGTATTTTTAAGGGCATTTCCTATATTACAATATTTCTTGTTTTCAGTGTTATGGCTGATGAGCAAAGGAAATGTCTATGCCACAGTGAACTCTGCAGTTCAGAAAGGATGTTTGTTTTTTCTTAAGGAAAAAGTTAAATTAACCTTGACTGTGCTTCTAAATGTTTGTGTGAGCCTTTTGCTGTTAAAAATAAATGAGCTTGCGAGATGGTGGAGGGTCTCCAGGGAGTTCGACAAGTATCAGGAATGGCCAGTACTGCTTATATCCTCTTTTGCTAATAACAGTAACATAGAAATAATAATGAATGCAGTGACAGTGGGTTTTCTAAAGCTTATTTTCGAGGCACCTGGGCATGTATGGTGCTCAAGGATGGCTTGGCATTTGACATGCCGTATTAACTGCCTGCTACTTGGGGGGTTCAGATTTTGCTGCCTTAAACTTGAGATCATGTTGGAATCTGATACAGGGGGACATTTAGCGGTGTTGAGTAGCCATCTGCCCACTCTCTCTCCTATGGAAATGACCCTCTATTCCAGCAGAGCCCACTCTTTAAATTTTTCGTCCTCTCCCAGCCCTGGCTTTTGCAGACAACTTTGCTGACATTTAAGATGAATGCTCTGCCAACAGTCACAAGTTCAAACATAATTTGCTACTAAATTGTTAGTAGCAAATGCTCAGTGCTTGTTGATAGTGTTTTGAATGTTTAATGTTTCAATTGCCAGACTTCAGAATCTTGTGTCAGTGGCCTTAAAGCTTCCTTTGTTTGGGAGAACACCAGTTTAACAATGCTCTCCGAAGAACAGATCTCATGTTCTGCTTATGTTCTCTGTAGCTGCCCCTATGATAGGCTGTGTCCCTAGAAGCTTGGACTGATGCAGTGGAGAGTCAGTGGAAGATAGTGTCATAGCTGGAAGTTCTGGTCACAGTGCTATTCCACAGAAATAACCACTGCTGAGCATGAAGAAGTTGGCAGTGATGAGTGGGATCTATGTGTGGGATGTTATAGCTATGCTGTGCCGGATAAGCGCAGATGGCAGAATAGTCTTACCCGGTCATCTTTTCTAAGGGCCTCTTAGGATATAGCTGTGACTTGAGTAGCATTTGATTGCTGTCTTCCTCAGGAACTCTGTAGCAGAGAAAGGAGTAACTGGTACCGCTGCACAGGTGCAGGTTGCAAATATTTGTTCAAGGTCAATTTTAATTTTGGCATTATTAATTTGGACTAAGGGGCTATAATCCATTTTTGTCTCTTGGTAAATAGGGAATACTCTAAAGCATTAGAACTGTGCAAAACACTTGTCAAATACATGGAAAGAAACAAAGCAAGTGGTAGATACATTTTTCCTATAAAAAAAGAAGGTTTGTTAATGCATCATAAGGGATACTTGTACTTGGCTGTCTACCAATAAGCTTCCCCCATATGTGGATGAGTTGTTTGTGAATCATTTGGGTCATCAAGTAATCTCTGAAGGTAAGGAAAGGGTATAAAAATATCTTAGGATTTTGAAGTAAGAGTAGCTTTAGTACTTAGGTTTGGTTCTTGAGTTCTGCTTCATAAATCCCACAACTGCTCTCTTTTAGGGAAATTCTAGTCAGTTCGTGGATATAATGTTATTGAAAGTGGCTCATGCTAGTTAGAAATCATAAAAAAATAGGGGTTTAGCTGTTCTAATGGCAGTAGCAAAGTAATTTATCTAAGGAACATAATGCATATGTTTTGGGTTGTATTTCAGTGCTGTATAATTTAGCCTCTTGTCTTGAATTCCTTGTTCCAGTCTGATCTCTTGCACTGCTTTTGCATAAGAGGAGGCTTTTCATAGGCTTCCCCTCACCCCTTGCCATGTTAAATAAACATTAAAAACTACTTGTATGTATAGTACCACAGCTTGATGGTTAACTTTGCATTTATTACTATTAAAGTTATGTTCAGAATTTCCAATCTTCCTGGACCACCAATGTGGTGACATTCTCTCTTTCATCATGCAAGACATCTGATGCTCGGTGTTGTGATCTGACCTTTAGGAGTGGGGCGTGTCCTCCTTTAGGAGGGTGTAAAAAAAAAAAAAAAAAAAAAAATTGGAATCTAATCCCATATCATGGATATAATGTGTAAATTGGGGAACCTGAACCTTAAAACTCTAGAGCAGTCTTCACTGCAGAGAGAGGCATGTAGGAAGTCTCTAGTTAGGCTAAAAAAAAATACAATCTATGCTTTAAGTACATTTAATATTGCTGCTTAGCAGAACTGAAGATACATGTTTGCTGATGTAAATGCTTAAATGTAGAGCCCTAGCAGATCTGTGTAGAGTAGGTACTGCTTAAATAACTTGTGCAGTGACTCTGAATTGCAAACACAGGTACAATATAGCACTTAAACTATACTTACTGTAAAAATAAATTTCCAGCAGAAGATAGTGTGAAAGTTTAGATACACTACCTGTGCTGAAAAACATGTGAATGTTAGTGAATAACACTAGCTTTTAAAATAGTCATTAAATCATTTACAAGTATCTAACTGTGCATCTCAATTAATAGGAGAGCAAATTGAACAGACTAAGGTTGACAGAACTACTTTTATAGTTACTGTAAAAGCAAAGGACAGTGATTGTCATATAATATTTACTGGAGTATATTTATGTGAAATGCCAGGTGGATGCCACCTTTGTTTCTATGCTGTCACTTAATATGTGATTCTACATTGTTGCTTAATTAAATGTAATTACTCGCCTGCAGGGATCAAGCAAATCATTAAAAAAAACCAAACAAAAACCAAAACCCAACCAACCAAACCCAATACTAGCACCATCTCTGAAACAATTAATTTTACTGCATAGAACTCTTACAGATTTTTTTTTTGAAGTAGCATCATATTAAAATAAGTATTTACTTTAAAAAAACTTATATGGTAATACAGTATTTTAATAAGTTATTTATTTGTGATGTGGTTTTGATTTACAACTAGATGAAATATATTAAACTGTTAATTTCAACTTACTGTGGAATTTAAACATTTTGAGACAAGGAATTAATTTGCTGGTGATGGAGTTATATTCATCTTGAAACCTCTCTTACTAACCTTAATAAAACTTCTTCTGCCTTCTTGTGGTGCTGAACACGGAGTCTAATTTTAGACATTCAGATTTGAAAAATTTGCTTAAGCAAATAGCATTCTGTAGAATTCTCATATGCCAATAGGCTTGTATATGACTTCTGTTTTTAAGGTACTGTTCAGTTCATTGCATTTCTTGGCAAAATACAGTTAACTGTTTATCCAAGTGTTTGAAACATTGAGTGTCTTAAATCTGTTTTTTAATGAAATTTAGGCTAAAATGTTACTGCTTAGTGTTCTAATCAATATCCAACTTTTAACTAAAAATGTGGAAATTTTTTAAATACAGGAACAGAATTATCTTCTTACAGTGTGAATTTGCAAGCTAAATGCACAGCAATTTTTTCCCCCCATTATACTTACTCAAACTCAAAGTGCTGAAAATATTCTTTAAAAGTTGAGTAGAAAGTGTTAATATTTGGAACAAGAGATTTTTGTCATTTGCTGTTTTGATGGGTAACAATTTAATTTATAGTTAGTGTTGTTGGAATAATCACTTCTAGTTTTCTTAAATTGGATGTCAGTGGGGTTTTTTGTTGTTATTGTCTTTTAATTCCTAAAAGCAATCTGAACTAAATTTATTAATAAAGTGAAGTAACAAATATAACTTCCTTTCTGGAAACTTTCTTCTCATATACGTAACACAGAATTTTGTGTTCTTTGGTATCTCAGTTAAATTATATTCATTCGTGTTTTAAGATGGTATTGCAAAAATCCAGGCCTGATTAGTGTTAAACTAATGTCGTTGTATTGCCTGAGTTAGTGTCTCCACTGTTTGGCATATGTGGGATGTAATGTTCTTGTTTCCATTGAGCAAAACAGGGCTTGATTTTAATTGTAAGTATTTGTGGGCAAAAGCAGTAGTTAGCATGTATTTAAAGAAAGAGCTTGAAAACAAAGAAAGCTTTTTCTTATACTGGCACTGTTGCTCAGCAGGATTTTTCTCTGCTTGCAGGTTTTGACTGAACTGGGTTTGACAATGTCAGGCTTTGGCAGCACAAGTGACTTCAGTTGCTGTTAGCTCTGCTGCAGCAGTCTGTGGTGTGGATGGTGCCAATCTTTGCTTCAGGCAGAGCTGCTGAAGTTTTGAGCTATTGCAATAGTAATGGTATCTCTCATTTGAAAGCACAATAAAAACACTGTCTTTTTGCTTTTGTTGCTGTTACTTGTGTTCAGGAGGAGGAAGATGACAGATGTGTGGATGGAGGGGCAAAAAGTAAACTAGAAAAAGACGCTGAGAGGAAACAGGAAATCGCGTTAAAGCAAGAGGGGGAAAAAAAAATCTGAGCTGGAGAGTTTAGCTTGAAGAAACCTAGTTATTGAGTAGAAGTTGTAGTAAGACTAGGTTGAAGTGAGGGAGGAGTTAGAGGGAAAGAAAAGTACCACAGAGGAGCCCAAGATGGAGAGAAGAAGAGGCAAGGGTGAACAAGTTTGGGGAAGCAGTTCAGGATTTAAAAAAAAGTCAAATTATGTTTTTGTACATTTGTGTAGAAAGGGTCAGAGTGAATTTGCATGTGCAGTTATAAACATTGGTCTCCCCTAAAGCTCAATTATTTGACTTTGCATGCTGAACATTATTTTGACATGAGCTTATGCTGCCTTAAGTCATATAGCAACACCAAAATGAGTGTGTTTTACGGAGATGGCTCCAGGGTTTAAAACTGACTTCTGGTTGTACTGTTACAAGTGATTGTATGACAACAGATTTCCTGAATACTAACTAAATACTTCTTGCTTCTTTTAGGCGGGGCTTGAATCCACCCCACAGAGTAAAGTCAATTTCAATGACTACTTTCACACAACAGGAAATAGAATTCCTGCAGAAACATGGAAATGAAGTAAGTATTATTTGGAGAATATCGAGTGGTTTTGGCACTTTAGTATTAAACTTTTAAACACTACTTAAGGATAACTTGGCACACTTTTTTTGGTAGCAGAAAGTAGGCAGAAGTCTTTTTAAGCCGACATCATGTGAAGTGATGCTTCTAAAGAGCTCGTTTCACCTAGGTCATCGTAATATTACGTGTTAGTGCCCAACCCAGAGAATGTAGATTCACATGATCAGTTGTTTCTGAATTGGGTTTTCATTTGCTTTTGTGTAAGGCAATATGCATCTGTCTGTCTGTATTTTTTCTGCAAGCCCAGACCCTGAGACTGACTGCAGTTTCCTGAAAGAGGATAAATTTGTTGCTTGTAGCTGCATTTCTTCAGAGTAGGTGTCAGGAAGTCTTCTAGTAGTTTCAATAGCTTCTTTCTTTAATGAAAATATATCAAAGTTGAAGGTTCTTAGAATCATAGAATCTTTGCGTTGGAAGGTACCTTTTAAGGTCACCTAGTCCAGCCCTGCCCCTGCAGTGAGCGGGGAGATCTTCAACTCTATCAGGTTGCTCAGAGCCCTGTCCAGCCTGACCTGGAATGGTTCCAGGGATGGGGCATCTACCACCTCTCGGGGCAACCTGTGCCAGTGTGTCACCACCCTCATTGAGAAAAATTTCTTCCTTCTATCTAGTATAAATTTACCCTCCTCTTGTTTAAAACCATTACCCCTTGTCCTGTTGCTACAGGCCCTGCTAAAAAGTCTGTCTTCATCTTTCCTCTAAGCCCCCTATAAGTATTAGAAGGCTGCAGTAAGGTCTGCCCGGAACCTTCTCTTGTCCAGGCTGAACAACCCCAACTCTCTCAGCCTTTCCTCATAGGAGAGGTGTTCCATCCCTCTGATCATTTCTGTGGCCCTCCTCTGGACCCTCTCCAACAGGTCCATGTCTTTCCTGTGCTGAAGGCTCCAGACCTGCATGCAGTTCTTGAAGAGAGGAAGGAAAGGGAGGATTTTTTTCCTGTAAGGATTGTTATCTAGTGTCTATATGTTTAGAGTGGCTTGGGGCAGCTTTGAAGACAAAAAGTTCTAGTGTACTGTCTTTTTGTTCTTTTTAATAGATGAAAACTAAATCTGAGGTAACTGTTGGATTGGCTCTCTGGGAGCACATGAAGCATGTAAACCCTGCATGTGGCTATTGCTGTCTTTGATTTGAGGATGAAGTGTGTATTTTAATACCATACTGCCTCTAAAATCCTCCAACGCTATTGCTTCTGTTCTGTATTAGAAAAAGATCTATTTCACTTTGATTGGATCTGTATTCTGTTTTAGTAGAACTGTTGATTGTAGGCTATAGAGTGTCTTATGAAAATGTTCTTGTGAAGCTTTGTGGGGATAAATCCCATCATTAGCTAAAATGCTGATACTTAATTTTCCTAAACTTGGTCCATTCATAACTGTCAGGTTGAAGAATGAAAATAGAAGTAGCAGTTTCTCTTTCTGTCCTGGCAAATACGTGTTGTTTGTTGAAATGATTGTTAGTGGATGATTCCTCTAGACAGAGCTGGAATAAGGTCTAAACTCTTCCAGACATTATAAAATACTAGTAATGGCTTTGACTAGTTTTTATTTTGAGCTGTTTTAGGGCCATAAAGCTGTGTAACATTGCACATATGTGTATATATAGGTATAGCCTATTGCCGACTTTTTGCATAGGGAGAATAATAATCTTTCCTGTGTTCAAGTACAGTATGTGGGAGTCTCTTTCCATTAGATTAGATTGTAAACTCCAGCTTTGCTTTAAGCTTCACAAGTGTAAAGGAAAATGTGTGTGTGTGTCCCTCCCTCCAGATATCTGTTTTAATTTCAGTTTTTCTGAATCTGCAACAGCTAGAGAATGCTACCAGTTTCATTTTTCGCTGATCTGAAACCTTAAATGATCCCTACTCAGTTGATTAGTATAGTTGTCCTTCTTGTTATAGACCTGACTAGTCTGCCAATCATAATGATTCAATTGATACATAATTTATCATTGACATAAAAAAACCTTACAGATCTCTGTAATGCTATACTAAGTTTCAAAAGCAGGGGTCTTTGTGGTTTGTAGTACTTATTGCAATGATTCAAGTGAGCTACCTCATAAATGAAGATGTCCTCTTGAGTTTAGTTTGGGGTTGTTGGATAGCAGTGCATTGCCTTAATTCTAAAGTGACACTGAATAGATATTTGTAATTGCAGATGGTAGATTTAACAGGTGCTCAAATGTTGAACAGAAGTGATAGTGTTTTAAACACTGTTAGACATTTAAAACTTAAACAAACATGTTTTCACTTTGTCATGCTCTTATGTTGCAGAAGTTAAACAAGCATTTTGCTTTCTCTTATTGGTGTTGGACTTTGGAATATTCACCTGCAGACAAGAAAAAGTAAAACAAAAAAAACCCCCTTCTTTGCTTAGCTTGCTTTTCAGCATAGGTGGCTCTTTTGTGTACATTAAGAATGAAATTTTCTAGGATAAACTTCTTCAAACATGGAACTGTCCAACACTTTAGAGTGTACACATGTGAAACAATGTACGGTCACTGAATGGTTTAATTTTAGTTCTGTAGCTGTATATATTAAAAAATACAAACCTTCAACTTTTGCAGTCTAGTATGTTTAACTTCCGTCTTTCTGTAGCCTGCAAAATAACTTTCGTTGCCACTTTGTCTTCCTAGTCTTTCTCCAGCATGGCTGAGGCCTCTATAATAAGCTTTCTTGCTTCCACATGAGTAGCTCATGGTATACAATAGGGAGCTTGTTCTGGATAGAAAGGAATTTTCTTGATATTTGCAAGAACGGTTCCCTGAGATAAGGTAGTTATTAAGGTGGTGAATTGTTCTTAGAGGAAGTAGTTTTCCACTCTCCTTCAAAGAGTATTTATAAGGTCAATGTATTGTATAAGGTTGAAGTTCTCTTAAAAAAAAAAAAAAATCCCTAATCTCTGAAATAGTAACTCTTCCCCAGTTGTCATAAATTGCCATCTTTGTGGCACACGTGTGTAAAACATTGAGTTACTAAAAGGCTTCCACAAAGCAGCTGCTTTGGGAAGAGATTATTCAGAGCAGCTTATCTTCAAGTGTGAGACAGCAGCCCCTTCCCTTGTATATACACCCCCAAGGAGTGTTTTTCTGGCACAGGTAACTTAAACTTTGTTTGGATGAGTTTTCACTGCTTTAAATACAGATTTAAATCTTTTTACTGTATTAGAAGACATCTATACTTTGGTGTTGCTTGCTCATCTGCAGGTATAAACAGATGTCCAGACTCTGGTTTTGCTAATGCTGGGGTTAGCTCACTTTTGCAGCAAGAATGGAGGCATCTTCAAGCTGATATTCCTCAAGTGCCTTCTGAAGCCCTTTTGAAGGATAAAGGGAGTTCTGACTCACTGGGTAGGATTTTCCCCTTCCTTGTTTTCTTCATGATGAAGAGCAGTGTGAGGTATTTTCACACTGTATTTTCTTGTTAAGAATAATGAGAGAGTGATATGAAGCTGGTTCAAATGATGCAACGTTGATTAGGCTTCCGATTCAGTAATGCAGTGATAGTAGAAAGTGAACTCACTGCAGAAAGTGGAGGTGGTTCTCATCTCATGTTGCCATTATAGCTGTGAATATTTATTCAGAAGCTTTGCCCTGAAGCTGAAAAATAGTATTATAAGGCAAACCAGTTACACAGTTAATTTTTCTACTACATTTTTTTACAAGTGCCATATATTTTATAACCTTTCCAAATAGCCTATTCTAATATGCATATGGTGGAAGAAAATAATTTGAATGGTCTTGTATTTGGAAAGTCTGTGTTTATCTGCTGTTGAAGATCATGTTTCCCTGAGCTAATGAATAGAATGGTATGCAGGTATGCTCAACTGCTTGGGATTAGCTTATTGGTGCTTAGTCTTGTTTTTGTGCCAGTCTTCCTGTCTCTTGATAGCACCTGTGCTAGTGTTTCTTGCCAGTTTGCTACACTCTAGATTCCAGGAGAACCTACCATTGCAGAACTAGCAGCAGTATGAGGCTGGTTCAGAGCTGGTGTTTGGCCTGACCAAAATGCTTTCATAGAATCTCCCCTTTACTGTGAAATGTGGCCTAGAAACCCTGGAGTGGAAAGAGCAGTACTAAGCTGGAGCTGATGAGTCCTGACAACATGAGCTGTGCAGTCAGGTATCTTTGTACTATATCCCTGGTTCTGCTAATACGATACAGAGATACATGAGCTGATTGTGTATAGAACAATGTCTTTGTTAGCAGGGTTTACTAGCTTGGGCTCTCTGCTTATCAAAGCAGCTATAGCTTCTCAACCCAAACTGGCTTTGAAATCAGTATACTGGCAGTATAACATTCTTTTAACCTACAGAGATTAATGAATAATATTGACATCAGAAGTGCTGAATTACTAAACAAAGCTATAACTTGCTTACATAAGGGAACTGTTTCAAAGTCTTTCTTCCTGTGGCAAGTGTTATGTTTTGGAACATAGTTCTGTTGTGTGGTAATCTGTAGTTCTTTGCACTGTCAGCATTACATTTGGTGCATAACAGAGGGTATTTCATTGCGGGGACGGCGGAGGAGAAGAAATCTAATTTGGCATGTACCAGATACCTGAAAGGTAATATCTCATTAGAGCTTTTTAAGCTAGACTGACATGTGTAATCTTCCTATGCAATGGTATGTCTGGGTCTAAACAAGAAGTGCTCTATTGCTGTAGATCTAGTAGTGTGCTTTTTCTAGTTGAAGTACTTGCCCCGTTACAGCTTTTCCTTGCTGTGCTGCCTTCATTGCATGCAAGAGAAGGTGGCTTCACCAGCAAAAACTTGATTTTGCTGGCCTAACTGAATTTTTATTATTCCTAACTAGCACAGCTATGCTATCAGGAGTTTCTAAATTGTGGTGGCTCAATGTGTTGTGTAAGCAGAAGGCCTTTGTCTCTCCCATATCCGCCTCCCCACAGACACTGGAGATCTGTATCAGTGAAATAGTAAATAGTT